TTTGATAACTCCAAAAAGTAACTATCAACTACAAAAAAAGCGAGAATACTTGTTTGAAAAGGTAAAAAAAAAAAAAAAAAAAAAAATCATGAGTGACTTGCAACGCAGGAAATCTTTTTTCCGCCTCTTTGGTAGAAAGAAACCTGGGCAAAGTAGATATTCGGCTCGTCTACCTGCAGATTGCCTATACGAAATTTTTACACTTCTCAAAGAAGACACAAAGTCACTACATTCATGCGTTCTCGTTAATAGACTTTGGTGTGAAACTGCGATGCCTTATTTATGGTCACAGCCCTTCCGAAAATCGACTCCACCTCCCGCTTCCCTTATAAACATTTTTGTCGCATGTCTCAGTGATGATGAAAGAGCTGAATTTGTCCAGGCAGGGATAAGGATTCCTACCGTATTCAAAAGACCTCCAACCTTCAACTATGCTTCTTTTATTCCACATGTCAGTTTAGAAAGGTTTTATTCCGCTGTTCATCAATGGACGTTACAAACCTCTGCAAAACGACGCAGCGTGGTAAATTATCGGTAAGCGTCATCTTTGAAAAATAATAAAAAAAAAAATGACTTGGTTTTCTTGTTTTTTTTTTTCATTGACAACTTGAAATATATATTTTTTTATTCTCCTCTCTTTTAGATGTAATACCGAGACTAATGAAATGTCGCTCGTTGTATATTGTGCTCTTTGCCGATTACTTTTTGGTAATCGATCAAACATTCATTCCCTAAGTTTGGATCGGCCAAGCAGACAAACTACTCCTTTAATGGATAAATCTCTCGGAATTGATTTACAAGTTCGCAATGTCAGGGATTTATCTATTCGTTATACCACCGATTCCTTTCTTTTCGACGCCTTGCATAAACAAGCTGCAAACATTGAAAATTTGACAGTGATTAAATCATCAGATTCCGGTTTAAGAAATTTTAACGATCAACAATATCTGTCGTCTTTGATATTCTCTCAACATAAATTGCGTCACTTTTCGCTAACATGCTATGATTCTGTCGATGGTTTCACGTCAAAGGTTTTAATCCCACTTGCAAGTCAGGCGGATACGCT